CTAACTGGTATGTAGTTCTTTGTCCAGTGGTTTATTCTCTGGGCTGGGGAGGTGGCTCCGTAGGGAAAGGGCTTGTGGTGCAAGTGTAAAGACCTAGGTCTGGATTCCCAGAACTCATGTGAAGCAGGGCACAGAGACACAGAAATAGAATTCTAGTATCCTACAGTGAGGTGGAAAGTGGACCGGAGGATCTCCTGAAGTTCACAGACCTGACATCCTCCTGAACACAGTGAAAACAACAGAGAGACCCAATCTTAGACCAAGTGGACTAGGTCGAGGCTCCTCCTTGTCTTCTGACGTCTGCACATGTGCCCTGCTCTGCGCAGGCCATCCCTACAGCAACAGAAAGGCAGAGTGGGAATGTATATTTGCCTTTCTGGTCAATATTGGGCATCACGTTATGTCAGTCACGTTTCCGGGAGACCTTACTAAACATACAAATTCTGATCCATTATTCAGTGCTAAGACTCCATAGTTTATATTTTAATATTTGTGGCTTTTAACTAACATCCTGGGAAAAAAAAGAGAGAAAACATTTGAAAAGTAAATCATCCCATAAAGGTTCTGTGGCAAGTTGTTTACTGGATTGCGGAAAGGAGATTTACTGTGGGTGTAAAGACAGGGTCTAAATCTTAGACCATTACTGGGAGGGTTTAGCTAGGAGAAACTGGTCAGCAATCCCACATAAAGAAGTCGAGGAAAAATACTCCAGGAATTTGCATTGTGGGTTGCTAAAAGCAATGATGTCATCGGGTGAAATATCTTAGAACACAACCGAACAGAAACAAAGCAAGAGCGAAATCCCACTTTGAATTCAGATTGGCACTGAACTCTTCCTGCAAAGACCTTAAGTTGCTGAAGATTGTTCAGTATGTGCATGGAGACGAGTTTCAGAGACCTGAGTATAATGATGGTAATTGAGACTATAAGGGAACGTTATGTCACCAAGAGAGGGGAAAAATGCTTTTGAGAAAGTGATTTAAGGTTCCTGGTTTCCCTTTCAGTGTCGAGAATGACCAGGATGTAAAGAGGCACAAAAGGGAAACATAACAAATTCAGTCAAAAAAGAGGATTGTAAACAGAAGAAAAAAATTTACACTTTATTTTGAACTAAGACTTTCACAGGCTGAAAGTTCTATTTTGTATAAACTGGGAAATAGTTTATTCAAGGTCAAATACATGATACATAAATGCCTGGGGTGTCTGTAACTTCCTGGCTGCTCTGTATAATTTTCCTTAAGAGATTTTGAAAAATATCAGTATAACAATGGTAGAATATAAAAATATTTTCTCTTTGAAATAAATAAATCATTTCAAATATAAAATAAATGGAGATTTTCTTGCTGTATAAATTACTATTAAAATAACTGTCACCTATTTATGCCACCAGTTACTTCTATATTACAAGTGCAATGACCAGATTGCACCTGTAATTCATTGCCTTGAATTTATTTTCAATGAGAATGAAATTCTAAAAAGAATAGATTGAGTTTGTTGCATTCTCTAGTGGAAAAGAGTAGTCTTAAATGAACATATCCTAACCACTCTCCTGTCATTAATATTCAGAAGCCTAGGAAATTTTCTTCAGGCATTCCCAAGAGAAGTAATTTTTAGTAGTTTTAAACTTTAAGATAATTCTGTGTTTTGCCTTGAAGAGTAGTTGTATGGAAATACGAATTTCAAAAAATGCCATAAGGGTAAAATATTTCACTTCTAAGATAGCATTTTTCTTTCATTTTTAAAAATTCTGAAACGCATGAAATAGATCATCCTCAGGTTCAGAGTTTATCCTTTCATCATTAAATCAACATTTTAAACGAGTTATTTGACCTACCCTTATGACAACATTTAGACAGCTTTGTTGTTTTCTCTTAGTGTGAGCTGAGTGAAAAAGGAAGAATGTTTCATGGAGAGCCAATGACTTACCCAGGAACAAGGTCATAACATCCCATGAGTTTGACTTCCCTAGTCTTCCTTACACTGTTCAGTTGCAAGGATAGCAGTATGCAAATGGATTGGGATGAAGTCACCTATAATTTCCTGAACCTACCGTTTTGATCATAAATCATCTAACCTCTACTCATCTTCTATAATGAGCAATGCTTATCAAGAAAACTAAGGCATTTTCCCCAGGCACATGGATCTTGCAAATGGAATATTTAGATATTTTTTGATCAGATGTGACTCTGCGTGTGCAGGTTTCAAAAGATCCAGAGAACTTCCAATGATCCAGATAAAATTTTTCATAGAAACAGAAAGTTAAAGCTGAGCTCTTATGGTTTTTGTATAAAATGTTATTACTTTGTATTAGCTCTCTAAAAGAAGTCCTGGTTGTAAAAAGAGTCTGCAAGACACTATTGCATTATCTTCCAAATGAGATTTAAATAAATGAAGTAGAGATTCTGTGTGTACATGTTTGGGGAAAATGTGATCCCAAGTACAGTAGAAGATTCTAGTTGGTGTGAACAGTCATGCCTCTCTGTAGTTAGGAATTATGTAAGTATTGCAGAAAAGTGATCCCAAGTACTGAAGAAGGTTCTCATTGGGGTGAACAGCCAAGTACTGTAGAAAATTTTAGTTAGTGTGAACAGCCAAGCATTGTAGAAGATTCTAGTTGGTGGTCTAATCTACCATGCCTCTACGTGGTAATTATGTAAGTATTGCAGAAATTGGAGCTGTAGGAGCAGGAATGCAGAGGCGTCTTGCTGTTGTTCAAACAGTAAATCAAAAGAATGTATTGAAACTAGCAAGGAATAAAAAGTTTGGTAACCTGAAAGGGAATAAATTAACATTTTTAATAATTAAATTAGCATTAATGGGTATATCCAGGCTATGAGAAATTATGTAAATAGCATGTTTACCCGTTTTCCTTTATGTACACTGACTAGATGGAGTACTATTTAGTTAATTTCTTCATTATTATTTGTTCTGCATTTTCCATTGTCATTTCCCCACTTATTGCATAAGTGAATACTCACTGAGCTTTTCCATTATAAGCTGGCTGACTTCTCATAATTTATTCTAAAGTATTTTCCAATTGTTAGTGTTTTATATTTGGCTTTTCACATTTATTGTTTTCTTACAAAGTAACTAATACATTTGTTGAAAGTTGACAATAGTCAATGAATTTTTACATCAATAATAATTCCATGGGCAACTTGTAGTAGGGAAATTTAGTTCTGACGCGTAGATTTTCAAAATGTGTGGGGATGCAGATTGAGGGAAGAAGGGCACAGATATCTAGACTGCTTGCAAGTGGTGGTTGGGGTGGAATAAGGAAGGACCGCTGAGCTTGTTAGATAACTCATAACCAGCGTTATTTGGACTGACGATGAGCAGTGTGTTAACATTTCTTTCTTTTCTTTTCTCTTCTCTTCTCTTCTCTTCTCTTCTCCTCCCCTCCCCTCCTCTCCCTCCGCCTCTCTCTCTCTGTCTCTCTCTCTGGTGGTGTGAATGAGAACTTCCCGCCTAGGCACATACATTTGATACTTAGGCCCCAGTTGGTGGATCTGTTTGGGAAGGGTTTGGAAGAGATGTGGCCTTGTTGAAGGAGGTGTGTAACTGGGAGAAGGCTTTGGCACTTTAGAAACCCATGTCTGTCCCTTGGTTTTATACTGAGATGTGAACTCTCAGCTACTTCTCTCACGCCAGGCCTGCTGCCGTGGCTTTCGCCCTGACCCTCGTAGACTCACCTTTTGAAGCTGTAAGCCCCAAACAAATTCTTCCTTCTGTAGGTTGTCTTGGTTATGGTGTCATATCATAGCAATAGAAAAATAGCTAATACAGTTTTATATCTGATTAATGAAGGGTCAACCACAAGGTCTGTTTCAGCTCTAGAATGCTATGATCTATTGAAATAAAGAAAATATACAGATATAATAAGCAATTTTGTACTTATTTGCATAGGAATTACCTGAATCTCTTTAATTACTGACATTCACAAAAAGATACAGAGAAAATTTACTAAGCTTGAGTTAGCCAAGGCACAGTTGGTTGGATTTTGAGAGTAGACTAAGAAACAATTACTTTGTAATGTAGCAATGATAAAGTTAGCATTATCTGAGGTTGCTACATTAATGGATGATGATATCAATAACTCTCAAAAAATAACACTTGGGTAAAGACGCTCCTTCTGACTACCAACTATGAACATATTGGTCAATTCTGCCTTATTGCTAGTCTTTGAATACACTGTTAGGTCACAGACATGTTAAGTTTACTATATTAAAGAAAAACAATTACTACATCCTTCAGTCTATTACAGCGTGAAACTATTAAACATTTGATCAGGAAATTGCAAAGTACAGCTGTAAAACTCTTTACTATTGGTAAGCCATCATTACTCTAGCACTTCCTAAGTTTTTAGCTCTAGATTGTAAAATCTCCCATGCCAAGTTTCACCCTAACCTCATTAACACTGCATTACTGCCATAATGTGGTGAAGGAGACAGTTTGGGGGACAATAATGAATTATAAAATAGCAAATATTTTCATAGGGAAGGCTGATCTTTTGTCTCTTCTGTTGAGATCTTTCCATGGTGTGAAAGCACTCTGAATATTTTTTTGTAATGCCGCTTTTCCCCCTGTGGTCTTTACTCCTGCTTTAAATATAAAATAGACATAGCATGATCGGACTTTCTTTGGGGCTGTTTGAGATTGCGTGAGAGGTACAGCAGGTAGTTGTTGAAATGATTATCCCCAGTGAAATCTGTCTCCAAAGACTGTGGAGCTCAAAGAGAAGCAGTTGAGGAGACAGATGGTGTTTATAGTGCATTTAAAACCTCAGCGTTTACTTTAAAACAGGACGACTCCAATCCTTGGCAGGATCCCAAAACCAAACTATTTCCCATTGATTGGTATGAATCACTCTCCCTCCTTGGTGCCTTTGCATTTTCCACACACACGTTACTTAAGTACCAACAAATCTGCAATTGACCTTTTCACAGCTCTGTACAGAGATGCCTACCATGGGTTTCTAATCCTCATCAATTTCTTTCCAGACTGAGCTTTTTGTACATGCCTTCAAGGACCAGCTGGTCAGGAGTGCTCTTTTAGCTCTCTACACGGCAAGGCCAGGAGGCATCCTTAAGAAACCGCCATCTCCCAAGGACAGCACAGAGGAGACTTGTCCCCAGGATGAGGCCCCTCAGCTGAGAAGGCAGGACTCCATTCCACATCATTCTGACTATGATGAAGAAGAGTGGGTAAGTCTTCTCACCTCATTTACTCTCATGGTTTAGCCCTAAGAAGTACAGCAAGCGTAATAAGAAAGCTCCACTTCTCCCAAAAATATATTGGAACCCAGTCAAAAACACAGCTGTGCATAGATACCCCACACTTCTCCTTAGGAGAAAGTTGCAGGTGAAAGTTGTATTCCTGATCACAATTATTTGCTATAAATATGTATGTTATCAAACAACCAAGAATAAGTCTTGACTTTCATTACTAAAAATGCAAAATCCTATAATGCCTTTCCTTATTCACTTCCAAACTAAAGTTTTAAAAATTTTTCAGGAGAAGAGTGAGAATCAACTGGGCAGTAGTGGTACATGCCTTTAATTCCAGCACTTGAAAGGCAGAGGCAGCTGGATCTCCAAGTTTGAGACCAGCCTGGTCTACAGAATGAGTTCCAGGACAGCTAGGGCTACATGGAGAAATCCTGTCTTGAACCACCCCATCCCCCAAAAAAGTCATGTCAGCTGTAGCAGAATACAAGTATTTCCGCTCTTGCTAGGTAGAGGTTTACTCATATGCATATTCTAAGAAACTTATTCATGTTTAAATGAGAGTGAACATGAAGATTTCTTAATTCCCACCGTCTAGTGAGTCTGTGATTAAATAGATGGTTGCAGGGCTCCAACATCATATCCCCTGTGTATGCACGTGCATAATTACTGGAGAAGGTAAATTAACAAAGGAAACAAAGGTGTGAAAGGAACTCTAGTAGAGAAGAAGAGGATGGGAGGAACAGGAAGGGGGCAGAGGTAGGAAGAACAGTGTGTTATTGATCATCAAGTGCCTCTGTGGTATATGTATATATGTGTGTGCTCACACACATGTGTATGCATACTGGTATCCCTTTGTTAGGTCACAGGCTCAACAAAAGAAGTGTGCTAGCTGCACTACATGTTAAATTTTTAGTTAGCAATTCTTTTCTTATTAGCCTGGAATTTAAGAGTATTTAGGATGAGGTGTTTGAGAGATCCAGGTCTCTAAAACAGTGTTTGAGGGTCCATGAGACAGAAACTGATCTTTCTTTTGATAAAATTTCGACCACAGGAAACCCACCTACAGGCTTCACAAGGTATGTGCTGAGTAAGTGTTGTTGCTGCTGATGAAGTCTGTGTTTCCCACACGACAGCATTTCAAAAGAGCAAGTTAGATATTTCTTCAATTTAATTTCCCCTTCCTCAGTTCATTCACAGCTCCAAGATGTACATACCTCTTAACCTCTCTGAAGTTCAATTTCTCAGCTGTAAAATAAAAACTGTATCTGTTCTGCTTAGCTCTTAGGATGGATGTACAATAAGTGGTTTATGTGTAGGTGATTCTTTACTGCCTGGACAGGCCTAGTCAGCTTCAGTGGTGGTGTATTGATATGTGCTTCTTGGTTAAAATATGTGGCTTATAGTCTTATCATGACAACCAAATCTATCCCTGGAGACCTCTAGCTGTGATCTCTCTATATACATATATATGGTATCCATAATATATATGAATATATATACATAAATAAACAAGTCAGATATATATAAATAATCAGACACACATATGTATATGTCAGAGATATATGTATATAATAAAATATGCATTGTGAATTTCAAAAATTTGAGTAGACATATAAAAGAAATTACTTCACTTAATTAACTAAACAAATTTAAGCTTTTGAGAAATAATTACCATTTTTATCCTGATTCAAGTAAAAACCTTGAAATAGATGTGCTTTCTTTTCATGATTTTCCTCCACTACTTTGTGATCCCACCCACAAAGTCCTACTTTTCCTACCACTTAAAATGGTCCCTCCCCCTTCTTTCTTCCTCATTTTCTTTCTTTTTTTTTTTTTTTTTTTGGTTTTTTGAGACAGGGTTTCTCTGTGTAGCTTTGCGCCTTTCCTGGAACTCACTTTGGAGACCAGGCTGGCCTCGAACTCACAGAGATCCGCCTGGCTCTGCCTCCCGAGTGCTGGGATTAAAGGCATGCGCCACCACCGCCCGGCCACTTCCTCATTTTCTATTCCAGAGATAATTTTTGTGGTCTTCAGTCCAGCAGATATTTGAAATGGAAAGATTAGCCATGTTTGGTCCTCACCTGAAGTTCAGAGACTTAGGGGAGATAAAACATTTTAACAGATATAAAATGTTGAAGCAAAGGCCGGGATACTGTGTGATAGCCTCTGGTAGTAGGATTTTATTCCACCCAGTTTGAATTCAGGAGTGTCTTGTGGTGCACGAAGAAAAGACAGAGGTGTGTCATTGGTGGGAAGTTTTACAGAGAGCCTTTTTCTTCAGTCAGAATTGGTATTCTGCCTGATTCACTACACTGCACACTGGGAGCCCCTGACGACACCCTAGGGCCTCCTAGAGCCCCAGCATATTCAGAAATCTAGAAGACAAGTGGCTATTGTATAAGGTAGCCTTAGAGGTCTACACAGAATAGTGTAAGAGTGTGGTAGTCAGAGTGGAGGTGGGCACAGGAACAGAAGTTAACCATTCCAGAGAGGGAACAGAGTGTTTGACCTCTGTGGAGAGAGGTAGTGGCTATGGACACAGCACGCAGCTATATCTGATTGTTATTCATTTTACTTGTTTTTCTTTTAATTGATGAAAGTTTACCTTAGCTGTAATGGAAATAACCATTTGGAAAGTAGAGGTGGACGTGGACAACTCTAGACCCTCCTAGAATACAAAATAGATTCACTTCTCATCTGAGGAGTCTGCAGAGAAACCTTTTCTTCATCTGAGACATACGAAGGACCTGAAAGGGCTTTGGTGAGGTGGTCTGGTGAGAGCCTTCTGCTGAGAGAAGGACATAGGGAAGATGGAAGAAGGGAAAGGAGAAAGCTTAAGACCTGAATGGGTGCAATTTTAGCAACATTTGGAACAATAGTCAGGATTTCCATCCTTAAGGAACCAGCCAATGGTTGGCATAGTTCTCTGTTCATCACAGGCCATTCTCTGTAAAGGGTAAAGGCTTGTTGATTGTTTCTGCAATTGATAAAGTGTCTTCCATGTTTCTTTTGGTTTTCATTGTGGTAATATATTGTGTACCCTAATAACCTTGTCTGAGGATCAGAGGACAGAGCCAGCCACTAGATTAGACACAGAAGTCAGGCAGTGGTGGCACACACCTTTAATCCTAGCACCTGAGATCTCATCATGCCTTTGCTTGGGAAGCACACATGCCTTTAATTCCAGGAAGTAATACGGCAGGGCAGAGAAAGGTATATAAGGTGTGAGGAAACAGGAACTCACTCTCTTTAGGCTGAGGATTTTGTAGAGGTAAGAACTAGTGGCTGACTGTTCTGCTTCTCTGATCTTTCAGGTTTCACCCTGATATCTGGCTCATCATTTTTACTAAAAGACAATCTAAGATTTGAACAACATTTCATCTTGAGCATGTTTCGGTGTCTCCCTGCACATCTTAAGAATTTCCTCCAGAAGTCATTTTTTTCTTGAAATCATAGAAATAGTTCATGTTTAATACAAGTTTAATGCAGTTAGAAGGAAACTGCCACTCAGTAAATTTTCTCTCCTCCAAATGTTTTATTTTGTTTATAAACCATTTTTGTGAAGGTCATATAGCATTCTTGCAGATTTTTCTCAGCAATCACTTTCTACTAGAAAGATTCCTCTGTCAAGGGATTTAATATCCTTAAAATAATTCAGCAGTCACAGTAGCCATGCAACATATTATTTTCAAAATGTTCTTCACCTCTGACCAATGGAGTAAACCTGAAGAAAATGTAGAGAATTGAAATGTCTTTAGATGTAATGCTGGTATATGATTTGGATCATAAGCTTCATCATTACAGCTCTTAATTTTTTTGTTAGAAAAGTATCAGTATTGATGACTAACATAGTCAAATTCTGAAAGTAATTCCATGTTCAAATGAATGTAATCAGGTTTTGGTGACATATGAAGATGTCCTCTGACGACTTTAGCTGACTTGGATTTGAATTTGAAGTTACACTGGTCCCTTTGCTAGAAATACCACTTGTTTCTCTTAGTTCCCACTCATTCACTGTAACAACGCTTAGTTTGAAGCCTACCATTTCTTACAATAAACATATGGGAAGTGAATACATCTTTGTTGCTCAAATTTTAAATGGTCTTTTAATAATAAAACCTGGAGCCAGACATTGGAGTAAATGCTAAAAGATCAGAGAGACAAAGGAACAAGTCACTGCCATGTCTCACCTCGCAAATTCAATGAATCCTCTGTTTGAATGTCCCTGAGTCCTCAGCTGAAAGATGTCCTCTCAACCAAAAGCCTTCAGCCAAAAGAGCCTAGCCAAGAGGCCACTATCAGAAAGTGCTTCCTCAGTCGAAAAGCCTTTAGTTCCTGTATCCTCACGCCTTACATACCTTTCTCTGCCCAGCCATCACTTCCTGGAATTAAAGGTGTATGTGCTTCCCAGTATTGGGATTAAGGGTGTATGCCACTACTGCCTGGCTCTGTTTTCTCTCCTAGACTGAGTCAATCTCATGTGGTCCAGGATGGCCTTGAACCCACAGAGATCCAGATGGATCTCCACCTCCCAGTGCTAGGATTAATGGCGTGTACCACCCCTATGTTTAATCTTGTGGCTTGTTCTGTTCTCTGATCTTCAGGCAAATTTTATTACGGTACACAACATATTACCACACATCTTAGTAAATTCCTCTTGACTTCATTTTTATGCATCTAACAACTTTTCCTTTGTAGTCATGAAAGAGAATCTCTGGTAACTCTACATTTTTCTAAGGCTGTTTTAGCTTCAAATGGCTTGATGGAGAAAAACCGATGACATGAATGTGGATGATACTTATCAAGTAGATATGACGGAGGTTGAAACTGAAATGAGTGATACCTAAAAAAAAGCCTGTTATTTGCTAAACTTTGGTTATTAAATGATTGAATGCTCTACAGGTTTATTTTCCTGAAAAGTTAGTAAACAATTCAACCGCAACAGAATACTGGGGATTTTATGACAGTCTATGCCA